GCAGCAACAACGCTACACGTAAAAACTGATGATGGTGGAAAAATACACCGAAACGTATTTTAATTGATAAATAAAGGCAATAAATGACTGAAACCCAGAAAGTAATTTTGATTTGGAATTTGCAAACAACATTTGGACGCTTTCCTTCCAATCCGCCTCTGTCTTTCTTGGCGACACCGACACTAAACCCTCCAAGGTATTTGTGGGCAGCGACCTTAAAAGAAGGCAGATTTGTGTGGTTGTATTGTCATTTTTTTCGTGCATGGTGCACCTTGATATCCGCTTATTAATGTGGAATGACCTGCTGCGCACAAAGGAACCAGGAAGGAATTTCGCCAAACCCTCGAAGGTGCTTTTCTTTTATTCGCCCMGAGATTATCTGTTGACTTGGCTCGGGTGGATAAATATTTTTCTGCGTTATTCAGCCCTGGGCCTGCTGAAGAAATGTGAAGCTGCCAATCTGCAGMCSRACTTGTTTCAAACCTTGGGGTTTAATGTTAAGTCGGTGCTGAACTTGAGCGCCTGTAAACTTCAGCCCCGATAAGAGASATAATCCGGTTTGTAGGATGATTTGAGCCGTCGGTATGTGCRTTTGCATTTGCCTGCAACCTCGCAAGGTAAGGGGGTAATCGTGTAAGGGGTAAGTCAGTACATCTGCCCGGCACTCCCTCCCTTTAAAGAAACAACCACCTGGCGATTGCCACGGTCGGTAAACAAGGGCCCTATTAGAGACCTACATATCGCGACTTGGCCAGATGGTTCTTATTTGAATTGCCACAGGCATATGCCACGACGTAATTAGAACACTATCAGCCCAAATTGTTAAAAAAAGTTGTTACTCCATAAGGCACCTGGAAGTGTATTAGATGACTGCGGTCGTAAGGGCACTTGTGGCTCAAATCGAACGTAAACCGCTGCGGGATAAAAGCCTCAACTTCTTCAGTCTTCCGCACAAATGCAGGCCGTTTTCTGCTGAAAGCATCGGGCAGACATTCCTGCTCGTTTACCTGCCTGCGACGATTGGCCGGCAGCTTTGCGTGTCGATAGGCGGAGTTTGATCAAGACGTTGATAACAGGTTAATATTTCTAAGTCGCTTCTTTTGTATACTTTCGGGCAATAGCGGTTATCTGGCTCTACTATCTTTTTTCCATAAGGTCTAGGTATTAATTTTGTATGTGTTTGGCCGGTAATGTCCCTGGGAAACGTCGATTCCAGACAATAAGGAATATGGAAAAGCGACGATCCGTTTCCCAGATAATGCCAATACATTTCCTCTAACGACTACTAGAAAGTGTGCCTTCATTATGGTGAAACGTTTGCTCGATCAATGAATGACAAGAAATCGAATTATGCTCTCGAAAAAAATCGAAATGTTCACATAAAACGTAATCAGCAGTTCTCCGCCTAAGATATAAAACTGGGTGTTTCTTG